CTGTGCTGTAGAAGGCGATATGCAGCACTGACGTGGTAGTTCTCCAGAACCGCTCGGTCATTGTACAACATGGCGGTGTCTGACCTGCGAATGCGACACGGCTACTTCAGGAATGATCTCCCTCACCGTCATCGTGATAATGCCAACAATGTATGAGGTAAAGCTGCTATCATTCATAGTAGGCTTTTTATTAGGTCACCTGTTAGATCTCTCTTCATGCTCCAGTGTTGTCCACTGTCCTCAGAGACTGCAGGGATTGAAATGCTACAAACGATGCTACGTGGGAATTACCTTGTCTGAATATGGAAGTTATTGGTGGTCCCTGTGTGCTCGTAGTCATGAATGGCAGCTGCAAAAATGATGGCAAAGATCTCCAACTCACTGAGCCAGTGCTGAAGGAGAGAGGCAGACAGACGAGGAGGAACGTGTCAATCAGGAGATGAAGATTAAAAACCGTCCTGCTTAACGTTGTGCGGTTCTCCTGCTGGAAGTGAACCAGCACAGAGTCTCTTTGCCAGTTGTCAGTGTGCCTGAACCACCTCGGTTGTTTTCCAGTAGAACCTCAACTCAAATGAAAGCAAATAGAGCTCTTCACCAAGAGGATCTGGTGCAAAGTGCCTCACTGAGTGCTGGAGGTCACTGTGCGAGGAGGCCAACAGGACAACATCACATCAGCAACAGCAGAGAGGAGATGGAGACCCCCGACCCGAGGTCCTCCACCCCCGGGTGCGCCTAGATATCCTGTCCATGAAAGTCACCAACTGGAGAGTCAAAAGCCTTCTCCGTCCACAAAGCACATGTAGACTGGTTGGGCAAACTGCCAGGACCCCCCCAGTAGTCTCGGGAGGGTAAAGAGCTGGTCCACTGGTCCAAGACCGGGACGGAATGAGCACTACTCTGCTTGAGTCCAAGGTTCCATATGCTGTGATATGAGTCACTGCCTCCCCAGCATAGTCTTTCCCCAGAAAGGTGAAAGTGTGATATCCCCTTCAGCAACTCACGGCGAGTCCCATCCAGCCCCGGCCTTGCCCCCATGCAGCTTTCTGACCCCCGTAGTGACCCACGGGCACGTGGAGGCGGGGCTTGTACCTTTTAATAACACAATGTCTGCATTGTACATGTGGTGCTGCTATAGTCCCTAGACAGCCGTCATGAGGGATTGTTGATGCATTATTTCAACGCAAATTAAGTTGGGTGGGGCTTGTGTTTGGGGGAGGGGCTTGAAAAAGGCCCCGTGGGCCTCTGTTTATTGCGGCCTTTGTTACCTGAGAAGGAGTCTCATTTAGGTTTTAACCATGATGTAAATCAATGTTTTGTCTTTACTTTACTGATCACTGAACTCTTTCTTCTGTTCTTTCTTTGCTGTAACAACCCTACATCAATAAAAGTCACCAAAGTCACTTAAAGCTCCCAGTTTGTCATGCAGCCTTTCATCCATTCACAGTCAGAGACAACACTAACTTTGCAAATTGCATCATTAATATCTACCTGTCAGTCATCATTCATCCCGTTATCATCTTTATAGAATATGATTACGGTGGACTCATGATAAGAATAGAGGGAATACACACATACATGCTGATTCACACACACATATTCAAAACTCCTGGTTCTATATGGTGCGTTCATGATCCCCTCCGGCTCGTCAGCGGAGAAAAAAGAGCCTCTTCCTTTGAGTTGATTTGATCGACTCTTCCCCCTTTTGAAGTAGGACGCGGACACACAATTATCCTGATGACTGACGTCTGGTTCCAGTTGATGACATTAAGCTGGATCAGCTAGCATGGTTTCAGTCAGCGGGTTAGTTTGAGCTGGCTAAGAGGACATTTGATTGGCTTAGTTGCACCACGTACAAGTAACGCGTGTCCCTGCTGGCTTTGACCATCAACAGCAAACAATCACCCAGTGGAGTCCACCATGTTTGTACCCTATTCAGCTACGAGGATAATGCAGAGTTTTATTATTATTACCAATGAACCCTTTATGTTATCTGTGTTATATCATTCATGTTAAATGTGAAAACCTTGAAACAAACATCACACATCATGACTAAACAACTATGAAGGGCCAAATATTCCACATGACTGTTGCATCAAATACACCAAACAAGCCAAACCTCTCCACAAAGATGCCGGCCTGCACTGCATGAACGATGCTGCGGAAGCGTGGCTTGTCCTCGTTACGGCGCAGCACCACAACCGTCTGCCGGGTGAAAGTGGAAGCCAGCCAGTCCCGAACCTCTGACGGCACCGAGTCCGACCGGATGTCACCCAGCTGGTCCTCTGGATCCACCAGCCGCCTGCAAGGAGACACGCATCAGACTAAAGATGTGGCTCTGCGTGATTACGGTCTTTCAAATCATTTTCCGTACAGTTAAAATCCCCCCCAAAAAATAAAAAACCCTCCGGGGCACAGCCATTAAAAACATTATCACTTTTTTGTAAAAACAGCTTCCTCTCTGCACCGATTGCTGGAGCACATTGATAAAAACAACAGTAAAAAGGTGGAACCGTGCCTTGACTAAGAACAACCTCCCCTCGATGATGTGTTTGACCTCCAGTGACGGTGGATTAAAGGACCTGGAGAAGAGGAAGCCCACTCCTCCACTGAGGTTGGTGTTGTGGCTCAGCAGGACTTCCCTCCTCCAGTCGGCCTCGTTGGTGCTGTCGCTGTGAGTTTCTTGTAAGAAGAGAACGTCAATACACTTCAATATTTTCGCCTTATTTCTTCTTTTGAAGACAAATTTTTGCCCCCCCGCCCCACAGTCGTCCTCCTCCTCCTCCTCCTCCTCCTCCTCCTCCTCCATCTATGCTTCTTCCACCTGCTCAGCTCACCCCCCCCCACTCGTACTTTTATATCCCCCCTCCCCTCCGCCACCCTGTTCTGCCTCTTCTACAGGCTTCCTACTTTGACCCGCTCCTATCTGACCCCCTCCCTCCTCACCATTTCCCCCTGTAGCCAAAGCCCCCCCCTACTGCCCTGGACACCATCACCATCACCGTTCACATTCATACTCACCCCGTGCAGGTCAGGCCCAGCAGCACCACTACCGTGCCCCCCGAAGCAGACGGAGCAGGGACCCCGCGCCCCGGACAGACTCTCACGGAATGCCCCTCCTCACCGCAGCTGAAACATTTCATCGCCGACGATGCTGCAAAAATCACGTGTTCATAATCATCCACCTTCACGTGGAAGCGGAGGTTGAGCTCCACATTCCGGTTGTTAAGGATCATATTCAGGTGTCTGCGGTGAGACACCACGTGCTTCAGTAACTGAGACGTCCAGACAAGATCTTTGATCGGTGAGACCACCTTTCCGTGTCTGGACAGCTCTCTGCTGAGGAACTCGTCGCTGATGAACGGAGGGACGTTCGATAGAACCACCTTCGTGGCAGGTTGCGTCAGTGGCAACACCTGCACAAACATTTCATTCACCGTGAGGCGCCTCGACGACTCGGTTCACCTTCTCCACCTGGTCCAGGAAGATGACCACGGCCTCGTTCATGCGCGAGGCCGACTTAACGCTGCCGTGCCCGACCTTCTCCCCCACAGCCCGATGTCCTCCACGCTGCACGGGAAGCCCGCGGCCATCTTAATGCCGTGCTTCCTCGTGAGCTGGGAGAACGTGTCTCCATTTACGTCTAGAAACGCCGGCCGCCGAGACCTCCGCCAGGAGAAAAGAAACCCAAAGAAAACCCCAACGACTAAAGTGAGAAACAACCACTAAACCACATTAAATTAATATATATAACTAAGGGAAAAACAAAGAGAGAAAACCGCTCAAAGACGCTCACACACGCTCACTCCCAGCATGCACCGAGAGAGAGAGAGAGAGAGAGAGAGAGAGAGAGAGACAGAGAGAGAGAGAGAGAGAGAGAGAGGTTTGAGGTTTAAAGAATCCTTTATTACACTCTTACAAAGGAGCCAGAACACAAAACTTTGTTCCCTCGTTTGTGGAGATCTCCCTCCATGAATCAGAGGCCATCCGGCGTCCTCATAGTCCGCCAATGACGGCTTGTACAAGCGCTCATATTTACGCATTTCTTCCCACAAAAGCTCTTCAGTCTGATCCGTTCTCTCGTAAACATTCTTGGTTTTAATAATGGCGGCATCGGGCTATGAAAGCGGAAATGTGAGACTCCGTAAAGGACGTAGTTAGCGGACCAATCACAGCCTTGTGCGCTGCGGGAGGCTGCGTCGCTTTCAGCATAAACTGACCAAATGGACACTTAAAATACTTTGGAATAATATCCAGACGTGACAACGCCACTCTTTGAGGGGAGAGACCCTGAATTCAATTATTGTACTGTGTTACGACCCCCGGTCTGTGTGTGTGTGTGTGTATGTGTGTGTGTGTGTGTCGGTGTGTGGGTGTGTATGTGTGTGTGTGTGTGTGTAAGCTGTCAGCCGCCCGCTACCTTAAACCGGATTCTTCGGTTTTACGGTCTGCCTTCAAAATAAAAGCTCAGTAGCGGGAAAAGAAGCGGACGCCAAAAGCAGCGGAAAGAGAAGGAAGAGGACAGATAAGTGAGTTTAGCAGGATGTCACTCCAAGACAGAGTCAGAAAACTGATGTTTGAAGGTTGTTCAATTGGAGAAAAACTTTGATGCTAATTAAATTCCTTCAGAAAAAAAATGCAATGCTGCATCTGTCAGCAGAGGATGAAGTTGACAAAGAAGGAGGACAGAGACCATTACAGCTGGTAATAACCTTTTAACTATTTTTATAAAACAGCGCTATTGACTGAGCAGTTTTGTGCTTATTCTCTCATTATTTAGCAGCCATTATAAGGGATGCAAATGGATTTGGAAGATGGATCCTAAACCAACATATTTGTTGGATGCATTTAGTTCACACAATTAAACCAGCGATCAGCCAAATGCTGGTGAAATATGCAAGTGACATTTCCTTCACTTACCAGCCAAAAACACAGTCATCTATTCAATGCCTTGTACAATGTGAACATCCACTTGTCGTATGTGTGTGTAACATATTCGCAATTCGTGTTCACAAGCAAGTGAACAGGTGACCTATTAAAGTTATGACCCTCAGATTATTCAAATAGACAATAACGTTGCAGAGATGTTCTCTGTGGTTAAGCCCTTAAATGCTACAGTGTGGTGCATTGTGGTGTGATTGGTATCCTGTCATTTTTTAAATAAGGAGAACCCTTCCGTGCTCCCCTGTGGGGACGCGCGTGGCCTCCGTCCCATACGGAATGAACGGAGGGACAAAAAGCATCCGTGGTGGTTTATGGTTATTCACCAGCAGCCGTGTCCAGCGCGCACATGCAGAGCAGACATCGGTCACAGAGGTCGGCGGTGGAGGAGGTCCTGCAGGCCGTCTGCAGCTTCTCACTGGTCCTGCAGACAACACAGCAGAGTTCTAATGACCTCACGGGGGCTTCAGCACCTGGCACATGCTGGTGTGCAATGTTTACAGCGTGATCCGCATATTGAGGCCCTCCTGCAGGGACCATGCTCATGTGCGCGGCGGCGTCCTGCTGACCTGTAGATGGTGCTGACGGTGGAGGTGAAGTCCGCCTGCAGCTTGGTGACGAAGCTCTCGGTCAGACGCTGGATGCTGGACTTGTCGGTCGCCTGAGGGACACAAACAAACCACAAAGGGAAACCAGAGCGCTTCAGGTAAGAGCTCTGCTCTCGTGGGCTCGCCATGAAAGGAAGTGTAAAGCCTGTTCTATGTGTGGCGAGTAAAACTTAAAGTAAAGGACACCATCTGTTTAGCAAAGGCAGCAAGCAAAGCTCCTCTTCCACGTTTCCCTTCATCACAGCTTCATTTGGCATGTGAATGATACATTTACATGAAGCAAAGGCCGCTGTGTGTGTGTGTGTGTGTGTGTGTGTGTGTGTGTGTGTGACCTGCTGGCAGTCTTCTCCATGGTGTCCGGGGCACCAAGGACTGGCAGCTCATCCTTCAGGATCTCTTCATTCTGAACTCCTTTGTATTCAGTGATGCCAACAGCCGCTGGGACGGCAGTGCGCAGTGCATTCTGGGACCGTGAGCCTGAACGATGGACACAAAAGCGCCTGCTAGCATTTCCACGTGTGCAGCGTCCATGTTTTAATCCATCAGGGACCGAAGTGATTAACGCAGTCGGCCGTAAGACGGAG